TGATTTTTTTTGGCTATTTATGTTTTTTGTCTTTATTGTTAAACTTCCTCTTTTTGGTTTTCATCTCTGGCTTCCTAAGGCTCATGTGGAGGCTCCTGTTGCTGGTTCTATGATTCTTGCTGGTGTTTTACTTAAGTTGGGGGGTTATGGGATTATTCGGTTTTTTCCTGTTTTTTATAATTTGAACTTTTCTTTTAGTTGATTTTTAACTTATCTTTTTTATACTGGTCTTTATGGTGGTGTTTTTGTTTCTTTGCTTTGTGTTCGTCAGATGGATTTAAAGATAACTGTTGCCTACTCTTCTGTTGTTCATATGAGAGTTATGTTTCTGGGCCTCTTGAGTTTTAGCTTATGAGGATTTTATGGTTCTTTGGTGATAATGGTCTCTCACGGCTTTATTTCTCCCCTAATATTTTATTTGATAACATATTTGTATGAGTTTAAGAGTTCTCGTAGCCTGTTAGTTCTCAAAGGTGTCTTACTTGTAAATCCGCTGTTTTGTTGTCTTTGATTTGTTATTTGTTCACTTAACCTAAGGGTACCCCCTTTCATATCTTTTTATTCCGAGGTTTTGATCTTTAGTTCTTTAGGTAACTTTACTTATTTTGAGTGGTGCTTTGTTTTTCTTTCTTGTTTTTTTACAGGTGTTTATTGTATTTTTATTTATACTAGTATATGTCATGGTGCTAGTATTTATAATTTATTTTATTATTTAGACTTTAAAGTTTTAATAATTTCTTTGGTACACTGTTTTTTTGTGTTGTTGTATCCTGTCTTTTTTTCTTTACTGATTAGTTAGTTTATACTAAAAATATTAACTTGTGGAGTTGAAGATTTTTCTAGTCATTTATTTTCTGTTTTCTCTTTTCTTTTTGGGTTTTATTTTATTGATTATACGGGTATGTTGGTTGAGATTTTTTTGCCTTTCTATTTTTTGACTGAGATACCTTTAATTTTTTGTTTTGATTATATTTCTTTTTTCTTTTTTTCTGCAGTTTCTCTTATTTCTTGTGTTGTTTTTCTTTATAGTGGGTTTTACATGTCAGATTTAGTTGATTCTTTTTTTTTCTATCTTAATTCTCGGTTTTTTTATCTTTTGTTTTTTTTTGTTGTTTCTATACTATTTTTGGTTTTTTCTGGTTCTTGGGTAGTTGTTATACTTGGTTGGGATGGTTTGGGTCTTGTTTCTTTTCTTTTGGTTATCTTTTATAACAGCGGACCAAGTCTTGACTCTGGTTTAATTACTGTTTTTACTAATCGTTTGGGGGATTGTTTTTTTATTTTAAGTTTTATTTTTATATTCTTTGTAGGTTGGGTTACTATCGATTGTTTCAGTTATTACTTATGTACTTTTTTTTGTTTTATTGTGACTTTAGGTTGTATGACTAAAAGTGCTCAAATTCCCTTTTCTTCTTGGCTTCCTGCTGCTATGGCAGCCCCTACTCCTGTTTCCTCTTTGGTTCACTCTTCTACTTTAGTTACTGCTGGTGTTTATTTATTTATTCGCTTTAATTTTCTTCTTTCTTCTATTTTTTTTATTTTAATCCCTGTTTCTATCTTTACTATGTTTTTAGCAGGGGCTTGTGCTGTTTATGAATTAGATTTTAAAAAAGTAGTTGCTATATCTACTCTTAGTCAATTGGGTTTTATAATTTTTTCTATTTCTAGGGGTTACTGATTGCTTGGTTTTATCCATATGGTTTTTCATGCTTTTTTTAAAAGTTCACTTTTTTTAACTACTGGTAATCTTATACATTATCTATTGGGGGATCAGGATTCTCGTAATTTTGGTTCTTTTGGTATATCGTATATTTCTAAGCTTATTTTTTCTTTGAGTGTTCTTAGCTTAATGGGATTTCCTTTTACTTTAGGCTTTTATTCAAAGGATTCACTATTGGGGGGGATTTTATTTTACTCAGGTTCTTTTATTTCTGTTGTTTTTTTTTTGGCTTGTTGTTTTACTGTTGCTTATAGTTTTCGTCTTATTTATAGAGGTTTTATAGGTTTCCCCCCTTTTGTTTTAGGTAGTTTTTTCTCTGAGGAGAAGCTTTTTTATGCGCCTATACTTTTTTTATATATTTGTTGTGTTTTTGTTGGTAATTTTTTTTATTTTTATTTTCTTCCCCCTGTTTCTTTTTCTTTCTTAGATTTTTTTTTTGGTGTATTTATTATCTTTTTAGGTGGTTTTATCTTTTTGTCTTCTTTTCACTTATACTTTTTTTTTAATCTCTTGTTAAGTATCTCTTTTTTGTCTTTTTTGTCTTCTTCTTTCTCTTCTAGTTCTTTGTCTTCTTTTTATTTTCGGGGTGAGTATGACTGGGGGGAAGTTTATGGTGGTGCCGGTCTCTCTACGGTAATTTATTTTTTTGGTGTATATGCCCAGCGGCTCTACACGTCTAATTTTTCTCTCTTTCTGATTATTCTGGTTTTGTTTTATGCCATGTTAATATAGTTTTTATGTTTTTAGTCCTTAGGGGCATTAGCTTTGAAGGGGCTAAAGGCTTTGTACATACATGTTAAAATTTATTCTAATTATAACTTTACTATCTTTTACCATGTTCGTATGTTAGTTATTATACATATAAGCATGTTTCTTAGTTAGATAGATGGGGGGTAGGGGGGCCTC